ATCATCAATTATATTAAAATAACCATCTTTTAATTTCAAGCATGTCCCCATACAATTAATAAGGATCAAAGTAGGCAGTCTTCATTGGACCTAATAGTTTGAAAACGCTAAAGAGATTTTCAACAAAGTTCAACCAAAGGAGAACTTACCAACATTAAGTATAACATCGATAGTATGATAATCTAAGCATCCCCGTTGCTGATAGCTCAAATTCTATGGAGGGCTTCAATGTCAAAAATAAGTTTTGTTGGGTTAATTTAAATATGTGATAGGGTAAAATAATATAATATTGTAATAGCTAAAGCAAAATCAAATAATAAAACAAAATTAATAAAATCAAAGTAGTGCGAAATATTAATTTTTATTATTAAATCCATCAAAGTTTTATTGTGTAACCCTAATATTCAAATATACTATAATTTTTTTCCCTCTAAACTTCCACTAGTATTTGTAAATAAATTTAAAGATGGTTTTCTATACTGTTGTAGCCCGTCATCTAATGCTACCCAAGTCTGGCCCGATTTCTGATGATGATGGGCTTTTCTATAGCCCAGTTGGGCTGGCCTTTGCTGCCTTCCTTTCTTTGAGTACAATTGACTCTTTTATAGTTCATTTTTAAAAGGAGGCATTGTATTTCACCACATAATTTTTTTGCTATTTTATTATTTCTACCCAAAAAAACTATTAGTACTCTAATATTTAAATAAATTGAACTAATTCAAACTAAATTAAAATTACTCATAAAAAATATAACTCTCAAAATTGAGTTCTACAACTTCGATTTATTGAACACTACAGAAAAATTATTCCATCTTAGCTCTTATTTTAGGATATTACAGTGACTATAACTGCTACAAAAAGCTTAGTAGTAGTTCTATATTGTTAATTATTTTGGATCTTTGTAAAATACTCTATGGACGGCAAAATAAAATATTAATTCAAATGCTATGCGAACTATATTGTTAATTTATAAAGCATTATTACATTTGTATAAATTATAATTTGTACATGATATTATTGCAAATGAATGGACTATCTTGAACTCATGTATCCAACATATATTTCTTTTTTCTTGTAATGAGGGTGTAAGATGAAACATTTATAAAAATTAAGAAAAATACGCCACCAAGTGAAATAAATGAGAGAATAAATAACACATGTAGGCACTATAATTTATATTGTTCAGCTTCAACTAAACCTACTACATGCATAGGAGATGAGAGAGATTTCAGTGGAAGTATGTAAATCAAGAGCACTATTTAACCATTTTTTTTTTTTCAATTCCTAAACACCCACACACATAAATAGAACCCTAAAATCAAAATTAAGTGATCTTCTTCTAACAAGCCTTTAGTTCGAGGGTTTGCTATGCTTCTTAAATCTTATATGTAGTCCTTATAATTCGAGAGGATATGATGATCAGGCTTCCAATCTTGATTTCAAATTAGGGGTGTCAATATTTGACACGACCCGAAAATCTGACTCGAGCTCCTCTTGAAAAATTTGGGATTAGGGTCAACTCATTTCATAAATGGGTTGGGTTCGGATTCCCGGATTCAACCTGTTTGGAAAAATGGATAGGGTTCGGGTTTACTTGAAAATATGAACTCAACCCGATTTAATTCAGAAAAATCTCCGAGTCATGTCCACGCGGACCACGCTGACCCCATCTGACCATTGTATGATTGTGTCTCGTACTGACCTCAAGTGCCACCATCCCGTTGCGATCTCCAGTTGTCGCCATCCGTCGCGAACTCTAACTTTTTTTGGATCAGAAGTAAAGAATAGATGGGTTGGTGGGTCAATATTGGACTGTCCCAAAAATTTCGGGTTTGAGTTGACCTAAACCTGAAACGGGTTGGGTTTGGGTTCAATAATTCGATCCATTTAAAAAATCGGGTCGGATTCGTGTTGACCCGATAACCCAAGATTTACCCATTTGACCCAAAAAGCGAAGTCTGACCTGGGTCATTCGGTCTGGTTGACCCGGGCCTGAAGCGGTTCGGGTTCGGGTCTGAAAAATCGACCATTTTGTAGAAACGGGTCGGATTCGGTTGACCCGTCTAGTGCCGGGTCAATTTCGGACTTGACATCCCTAGCTTCAGTAGGCTTTAATGGGACTAAAGTTCAATAGTCCCAATAAATTTTCTATATGTATAGCTGGGTTTAAGCACCAGCAATTATGTTAATATTTGCATTTTTAAGAGGTTTTTTTTTTCTCTTGAAGCCGTTTTTTTTAATTAAACTTATGGACCTTTGAAATTAAGGTTTTGCTTGCTATAGCTTCACTGATATTTTTCTAAGTAATTTTTTAGTACAAAAAAATTTTTAACTATAATTTTTTGTATCAGAAAGTGGCTTTAAAAAATATTAACGAAGTTTTCCCAAATAAAGCCTAATATTTATGTTTATGGAGTAGCCAAACTTAAATTTTTATGCCTATAAAAGCTTAATTATTATATTAAATAGACCAATCAATAATAAATATTTAATTATGTCTAGTTTTTTATTATAAGGTAACTTTCCTCCCTATGAATAATTTGTTAATTTGAGATAATGATTTATTTGTAATTATTTTAAGCACACATACGTACAAAATCTTGAATACTTTTCCCTCTCTCGCTTCTCTCTCGCTTTGTCTTTGAACACCCTCATTAATTCATCAAATCATCCATAAACTATTTCTAATTTAATTAATGACAACAATAAATTTAATCCCACTAAGTTTTCCCAAATAAAGCCTAATATTTATGTTTATGGAGTAGCCAAACTTAAATTTTTATGCCTATAAAAGCTTAATTATTATATTAAATAGACCAATCAATAATAAATATTTAATTATGTCTAGTTTTTTATTATAAGGTAACTTTCCTCCCTATGAATAATTTGTTAATTTGAGATAATGATAATGATTTATTTGTAATTATTTTAAGCACCCATACGTACAAAATCTTGAATACTTTTCCCTCTCTCGCTTCTCTCTCGCTTTGTCTTTGAACACCCTCATTAATTCATCAAATCATCCATAAACTATTTCTAATTTAATTAATGACAACAATAAATTTAATCCCACTGGATAATAATATTTCATTTGATGAAATCCCACTCCTAAAATAATTTTTTAGCTTACTTTTAAAATTATTTTAACTAAAATATTATAACACTCAATTAAATCATAAATTTTTTTGACAGTGATGCTTATATTTTCTATCCCAATAATAATATACGACTTCAAGAAATAGAATAACTTTCACTACATAAAACCCGTTTGAATCTCGGCCTGTTCCGGGTTCGATACGAACCCGACCCGAAATCTGATTTTGCCACCCTAATGTGATCAGAGTTTCATTTAATAAGCTAGATCATCATTATTATATTGTATAAAATAAAATAAGTTTTTTTTTTAGAATAAAAAGGTTTGCATCATAAATCAAAGAAAAATTATGTACACATAAAATGATTTTCTAAACTTTTATATTATAAATTTGTATTTTTAATTATTATTAGGAAGAAGAAATAAAAGAAGAAAATGAAACCCAACTAAGCTGATTGATAGGGGTGGAAGAAAGTATTGATAAACTATTAAATGATTATCATATCATTTTTAATATGTCCCCTACTAAGTTGAAACTTAGTTAGTGTGTCTCTTTCGAGGAATTTAAGAAAATTATTATTTTTGTCGCCATTAGGACTGTGTTATCTTCTTCATTCCAAGTGGTTTGTAATAATTGCCATGCTTTTATTATCTTCACGTGATTTGTAACACCCTTTTTTGAGCATTATTAAAATTTTGAATAATTTGATGCTTCATACTAAAATTTATTTTTAATGAACAACTAAAGAGAGAGAAAAATAAAAAATATATATTTATATAAGATGAGATATTCTTAAAACTAATCCAAATAAAAACTAAGCTAAGGGTCTATTTGGAGCGTTTTATGACAGCCTTAATATTAAGATTACAACCACACTTTAATTTGACAATTGTTTTATTGCTCCTTTTTTTGTTAATTTTCAAAAAAAAAAAAAAAGTATGATGGAAAGTTTTTTTTTATATATTCAAATCTATTAATGTATGAACAATAATATCAAGTTTTTAATCAACTATGTGAAGTTGGTTACATGAATCTTTTTTCTCCATTGTGCTGAGTCAAATTCTCATTTAAATCCAAAAAAGATCTAGAAAGGTCATTTCTAATATTTTATATACCAAATCCTTTTAGGTCTACCTCTACCTTTGTTAACATAAGTAATATGTAATACATCGGAACACCATCTTTTTATATGACCAAACCATCTAAGGCGACTCTCTGTAATCTTATCTTCCATTGGAGCTACTCCATCCTTTTCATGACGTATATACTCATTTCGTATCCTACCTCTAAGAGTAAAACTACTCATCCACCTAATCATCCTCATCTGTGCAATACGAACTTTTATTCGGTCCAGTGAACGTACGCTCCTCTACGTTTGGCCACCAATATTTTAGCGCCACATAGCATGAAGAAAAGTCGCCGACCCGACCCGCTGTTTTTTGGGTTCTCGCACGTGCGTTTTTTTAAATCCTTGACGAGGGTTCCGCTCCGGGTCAAGTCGTCGGGCCGCGCGGTTTAGAGTAAGAGCACGTGGCGACATGTTATTGGCGGCCGAACGTAGCTCTACGTCCGGTCAGATGACGTAATAATTGTTCCTGCAATACATAACTTAATATTATGTTTCTCTTTTAAAGGCCAACATTTTGCATCATAAAGCATTTCTTAAAAAAAAATATTTTTCCTATAATAATTTCACATACATCTATATAAAAAACTACAGCCGCCTTAACCAGACCCCAATTAAAAATAAAACAAAAAGAATAATGATACACTTCTTACAAAGAATTCTTAAAATCTAAAAATTTATAAATTAGATAATTTTCCTATATTATCTAATAATTTAATTTTATTTATTTAGCAATATGATTACACTATTTAATTACTCAACTAAATTAAAGAAGAACATAAAAATATATCATCTCATATACTGATACGTACCAATATTTCTTATAATAATGATACGAATTGCATCCGGATACACAGTGGACTCACTCACTAAATGCTCTAGCCTATAATTTCCCTCTAATGAAATTCTAAATATTATTATCTTCTCTATTTCTTTAAATTATTTCTTATTGAATAAATTAAGCCCTCCTCTTCAGTACCAGCTACAATGGATAGAGATACATCGAAGAGAAGAAAAAAATAACAAATAAAGGCAGAAGCAGCTGGAAACCAGAAGGTAGCGGGCGCGCTCCGCCACCAAACACCATCCCAAAAAACCCTGAGGCTCCGCTGCCTCCGCCACCTCCACCGCCGTCGATCGCCATACCACCACCGCCGGCGGCGAAACCACCGTCGTTGGCTCCCGGATAGGCGCCACTGCTCTGTCCACCGTTGTCCCTGTAATCAGGCAGGAATATAAGTACGTAGCTGGGATAGGAAAAGCAAGAGATGAAGATTACAGTTTGTAGAAAAACCAGTGATCATGATAACAGGAGAAGTAATTTGCATAAAAAAAATTAAGGCTCAAAATTTAAAATTAACTATTTAAATTAAATTAAAGAGAAAACTGGGGACCCATGCATTGCTTTCGGTGTTAATTGAGGAGTTTATTTATTATTTTTTTTCGGATGGATAGAGACTGCTGAAATAGTTAGGAGTTTTTTTCTCGCCACTGTCGGCCAGCTCTTAAGCTCATTATTAATTTTGATTAATTGCTAAAAGAAAATTTCTCTCATTCAAAACAGTTTTAATATATATTTTTTTAAAATTAATTTTTTTTATTTCTATAGAACAACAGTAAGAATAATCAAGCTTCATTCCTGGATTCAACTATATAAGAGATAAAATTATATTTAAATCTAGTAAAAAATTTAGATATTTCTATCCAAAATTAAAATTTTATCAGGAAGATGGACGATGAACATTTTAAATTTGCGATAAGATGAAAGAAAATATGGTGATGGAGCTGTAGGGACCAAATTGGGCAGGCGAATCTGAGATTTATGCGGGAGAATCGAGTTCAGGAATTGAAGCTTTACATAACATTATACGACTCGGTCGCAGCAATATTTGCAGCCTACCAAGGATATCTTAGACCACCAATAAAACTAATTGTGGTACCCTCACCGAATCAGAAAGGGACAGAATCTAGATGGTATGAGAGAGATTGTTTTGTGCGGACGCCTTCGGCAGTTTATCGTTCGGAGGTCAATCAGAATGTGTCACATTAGCGACATCGAGCAAGGTACCGAGTGGTACCGAGCCGCGATAACGAGCAGTACAAAACCAGGCACCGAGCAGAAGGTGACATGACGCATTTTGATTGGTCTCTGGACACATTTGTCGTCTGCACAGAATAATTTCACCTCCTAATTTGAAAGCTAAAACGGGCAACCAAGAGAGGAAGGTGAGCTGTGTGAAAGTTATTTTTTTTTTTTTTTTTTTGCTAGTGAAAATCCCGGTCGACATAGCATGCAACACACACTAATTTAAACGGGCCAACACGTGAGGCTTTCACTGTTTGCCAAGGGATTCGAACCAGGGACCTAGGCCGATTCTTCACTCAGCTTTTCAAACGAAAAAGGAACCCACTTAGCCCAACTCACCATTCACCACTCGTACAAGCAGCGGCGGATGTGAAAGTTATTGTCAAAAGTGAATATCATCACTCAGCTTTTCAAACGAAAAAGGAAAAGGAAAAATAGCTGTGATATTTGGCTCATTAACCAAAACTGGACCAAAGCGGCCACCCTTTTCTTCCTTGCCGGTATTATGGTTTCTCTTTATTCATTACTGAACAGCATCTAAGCACGCCTGGCCGCCAATTATGAAACTTTCTTTCATCTAATTAAGGCTTTTTAGAAATTCAATTATTTTATATTCACTAATCTTATGTACGAAAACAAAGTCATTAAGCTTTACAAAGTGTAGATAGCATAAACTATTTTTCATTTCTAAATACATTCCTAATTTTTAATATATATTTTTATCATCAGTTAATGAGATGAACCCTTGTTCCGTAGAGAAATTATTTGTGCGGATTTTGAACCCAGTTTATCATCCAGAGACCAATCAGAATTGTCACGTCAGTAGTATCGAGCCGGATACCGAGCGGTACCGAGCCATTCTGAGTAAGAGTGATGTGGCGCATTCTAGTTGATCTCTGGATGACATTCAACATCCACACAAAAGAATTGCTATGTTCCTTACCAAATTTGTATAAGAATTGCTATGTTCCTTACCAAATTTGTATAAGAATATTTTGATAAAAAAATGATAAAGAAAAGCTCTATCTAATCACAAATTGATAGGATAGGATATTATGATCCCTTTTTTTAATTTTTAATTTATATTATGAATTTTTTTAAGAACGAAATCGAAGCTTGGTTGGTTCGGAACGGCTTTCTTATTTAATTTTTTATCTAAAAAACTGTCCTTTATAGTCATCCAAAGGTAACCTATGTTTAAACGGCAACGGTCAGAACCTAAACGGGTTAGACTGCTTCCTTCTTATCTTACCACGCGGCCCCACCGGCCATCTTCTTCTTTGATCACCGTTAGCCACGTGTCACCCGAACACCAGTAGCCCCCAGCTGACCTGGATCCCATTGGATAATACCTTCCCGCCACAGTCGCGCGCTTTCGAAGCAAATAAAAAATCTAATCGACACCCAACCGACGGCACCCAAAAGTAACCCGGACAAGGAAGATCAACAGACAACTGAGAATAAGGTTGCGATGGTACCTGGGTCCACCGAGCACGCCGGCGTTCCGGGTGAGCTCGTCGATGAACTCGGCGGACTTGGGTTCGACACTTGACGCTTTGTCGTACAGCGCCGCCAATCCCTCTCCCGACGGCACGAAGAAAGCACCGTTGACTAAAATGTCTCCCTCCGTCCTCCAATTCCACCCGTTCCACTCTTCCTCATCGGTCTCAATTCTCTTCGTCACCTGCGAAAATTGCATGTCACAAATACAGCCCTTCAAAATTTTGAAATTATACAAACCACCTTCATCTCTTACATATCTCTTCTTTTTCTTTTTTAAGCAATATTATTTTTGCATATATATTTCTTCAGTATATTTTGGAATCTAAGTTATAATTAATCACATGAAATTACTATTTATTTCCAATAATCAACTAATATATCTAAGCTGTTATAATATCAGTAATTTGCCGTTAAATATTTCAATAAATTAATACATATATATTTAAAAATTATTAAATAAATACATTTGTATATAAATATGATAAATAAGTACTCCTCAATTAATATGCAAATCAACTGAGACTTTTTATGGAATGACATTTTCTTATAATTAAATACTATTAAATCGTGAATAATTTTAACTAATTTCTAAATAAACTAGATAAATAATAATCAATTCAGAAGGTCATCATAGTTAAATTAAAAATATTTACAATCTTTATCAAATCTAATTAGCTCGAAATTATCTAATTAAATAATTAATCACCAAATATTAAACGATATTAACTTAATGATCCTAATTAGCATTTTAATAAATCTCTAAGTAGCTTAGAAAATAATTAATTTGAGTTTATTTTTAATTATTATATTTTAGTTAAATCTGACTTCTTCCAATCGAATAGAAATTCATTTTACTTTTGGAGAAAATTGTCGAAAGAATTTCAAATTCAGCTGACCTCCTTCGCATTTGGGTCGGGGGGAGCTATGTATCGATTCCCCTGGCTGTTAATGGTGGGATTCGCGCTCCCACCAATGGCGTACATTTCCCATTCTGTGTAATCGTTGTTGACAATATGGAAGTAGCCATGCCTGCACCGCGGCATCCTCTGCACCAGCTTCTCCCCAAATCGATTGAAAGCAATGGTGATCTGCATACCAGAATCCGGCAAGTAATCGTCTCTATGCCCCATAAGCATGACCTCATTATGCCTCGAGAAATAGCTATTCGAAATCGTGATGGCCGTCGATCCCATTATTGCATCGATGAGCCCATCGGCGCAATTAGAGAGCGCGCAGTGATCGATCCATATATCCCTTCCGCCGAAGATCGAGATCCCGTCGCCGTCTGATCGGCCGCGGAAACCGGCGTGGGTGGGGGAGGATCGTACGATCGCGTTCCCGGCCGGGACGCAGTCGTGGATGTGGAGGTTGTGGATGATGACATTGGAGACGTATTGGAGGGTGATGCAGGCACCGCCGGCTATGTGGACGTTTGCGCCGCGGCCGTCTATGGTTTTGAAGCTGTTGACGAGGAGTTCTTCGTTGAGGTGGATGGACATGGAGGCGGCGAAGATGATCCAGAGGGGGGAGGATTGGATGGCGGCGTGACGGAGAGTGCCTGGGAGGGGGTTGGCGGGATCGGAGTCGGAGGGGTCGGTGACGGTGTAGATGAGGCCATTTTTGCCGCCGAGGGCAGAGCGGCCGAAGCCGATGGAGCAGTCGGCGAGGTGGAAGCGGTCCGTTCGCCAATCGGTGGCGGAGCAGAGCAAGCAGTCGTCGATGGGGTTGCCGGTGAGGCATTGGGAAGGGTCGGCGAGGGCTAGGCGGCGGGAGAGGGCAATTTGATGGAGGAGGTCGAGGGCGACGGAATCGGGGTCCGGGTGGGAGGAGTTTGGGGGGAGGAGAGGATGGGATGGGGGAGGGAGGAGGAGGAGGAAGAAGAGGATGGGGAGGAGCATTTTAGTGATGGTGGAGTGGAGGAAGGGGAGGGGTTTTGGGGGTAATTGAATTGGGTATTTGTAGTGTTTGAGAAGATGAATGCATCTAGGGTTTTAGATTATTGGGTTTTGGGGATTTGAGGAAGAAGACAAAAAGAACTAGAAGGAGAAGATAGTAGCTGGGGGAGGATTGAGTTTCAGTGATGGGGGAGAGGGAGGAAGAAGGAGAGGGAATCGCCGCTCCCCTCTGCCCGCGCATACCTTGCTTGTGAAACGATCTAATAGGGGGATTTCATTTTTTTAATATTTTTTGAAAAAAAAAAAATATTATGTGAGGAGATGAGCTTGAAAGTTATCAGATATATATTTTTTATATTGGTATTTTATTTAATTTTAAAATAATTAAAATAAATTTTCAATTTATATTAAAAAACTATGATATGAGCATATACAACATGAAAAGGTTGGAGTAGCTACAGTGATAAATAGGATTAGAGATAATCATCTTAGATAGTTTGGTCATATAAAAGATTGGTCTTTTAATGATTCAATTAGGAGAGTTAAGGATTCTTTTGAGAGGGTTGCAATTTTTTGTAATGTGGTTATAAAAATATTATTGGTAATGCGACTTTTTTTAAATTTGCTATAAAAAGCGTGAGCTTTGCATAAAATTTTTTAAAGCAATTAAAAAGAAGTAACTAAACTATGATTGCGGCCTAAAAAGTAAAACAATTAGAAAATTATTTCAAATAAAGACAATAATTTTTTTTTATTTTAAGGAAAAATATGAGATTTTTTTAATTATTAATAGTTTTAATAGACTTTAAAATATTATTCCTTCTTTTAAATTTTACTATGATGTATTACAATTTAAATTTATCTTATTTCAAAATAAATTCAACTATTTAAAATTTTACTTATTAAAGAATTAGGCCAATATAATAAACCTTAAAAAAATAATATAAAGCATTATTGAGTAGTTGTTTTTTGGATGCATAAATTATTTTTGTTGGAATTATATTAGTGTATAGTAGTAATTTCAAATGGTTTTTTTTTTTTTGTAGTTATTTCCATGCACACTGGTTGGTTGACTTGATGGGAGTTATAAAGATTCTATTGATTTTTTTTAGTTGATTTTATTCTTCATCAAAATTGTTGAGCTTATCTACTAGTAGATTTGTAAAAAGAAGGAATATAGAATGATCTTCGAAGATTAGGACATCATACATCGAAAAAGAAGTAAAGGAGATTTAAAAGATGCGTTGGTAGCTTTTCATACAACCAATCCTGATCTCATGTTTTAGGGAGGTCAACCACATCCTGTGGCCATCACTAAGAGAGAGAGAGAGAGAAAGAGCGAGAGAGAGAGAGATTTTTCTGTGTAAAATCAATCATTATTATCAGTGGCCTAATCAGTGTGTGCCTATAAGCCTATTGAGGAAAATAAATGTCCCCTCTTCATCTAATTGTTAGTGGAGATGTATATTTAATCATCATATAGAGGGTGACCTTGAAACCTTAGCTAAAATGTTAATCAATCTAGAGTGAACCGATAGGACAACTCGAGTTTAATGATGGGCGATATTGTGGTTTTGAAGCCCTTGTACAAGAATAATAAGGGAGGATGTAAGAAGAAACTCATTTTCCTTTCATAGGGTACATCAAAGCTAGCATTACATTTATGAGCTAGTAGAGATTATCAAAAGAAGAACAAATCTTAGGCATTAAAACTATCCATCAGGATCATTTTCAATGATTTGATATGATTTTCTTAAAATGTGATCATTAAAATATCGATTACAAAATTTATTTGTGATCGACACTATGATGAATAAAATATTTGTTTCAAATAAATTAGGAGATCCTAGGGCGAAATTGTTGGGAGGAATTACTCCTAAACTTCAAAAGAAGCTTTAATGCAGTCATAGAGTCTACTCTCCTAAAAATTTGCTTTACTAAGAAAAAATTTTCATAAAATCTCTACCTTGCTGTGATTAGACGAAAATGTATGGCCCCACAAGTTGGCGTTAGGTGTAAGAAAAGATCAAACTGTAAAGAATTAGCAAAATTTTCTATATTTCTTTTGTTATTTATTTTATTCTTTTGTCGTAATCTGAGCTCTTTGTTTTTTCACCTTTGTGAATAAAGACGGAGTAGCTCATCCACTAACGGCGAGGCGGCGGCGGCCGCCGTAGATTCGGGGATTTGGATTCTGAGTGTTTCTGATGTGGATTTACATAGCCATTTTCCTTTAGTGAAGCCATGCAAGCTCAGCAAAGAGCTTTACTTTACTGAAAGGTGAAGACTGACGTTGTAACTTAGAAATCTTATAAGATTGCAAATTTACGTATTAATATACTGTTAAAAACTTAAAACCACTAAAATAAATTTTATTTTCTACTTAACAAATGTGAAATAAATAGTTTTATGAATAAGTATATGGAATAAAAAACTGAAAAATAAAAGGGCCTTAAATAGTTATATTAAAGAGGACAAATTCTTAAAGTAAAAAAAAAAAAAAAAAAAAAAAAAAAAAAAACTAATGTCAGCAGTTGCTTGAGCAAACGACCAGCTTTGATGTGGTAGACAATGTGGACGTGGCGGTTGTGAGCGAGGAGGACGTGGCAGTGGTGAGTTAGGATGACATGGCGGCGACGGTGGGGTCCAGAGTTAGTATTGTACCCACCAAACGACTAGGCCGAATCATTCACTCCATGAACGACTAGGATTAATTTTTATGTGCAGATGCCGAACGACATCAGGAGACCAACCATAATGCTCCACGTTATTAGATTAGCTTAATTAATGTACTTAACCGATTTACTTAGCTTTCCTCCAATCACTGTCTTACACGTGTAATATCTGTCCCGCCTATCTATTTATAGGCTGTTGTACATTTGTTTATGCAATCAATGAAATATTTCGGTCGTCTTCTTCCTTACCTGCTTCTCCCTATCCTCTTCTAAGTTTCTTCATGGTATCAGAAGCGGGCCGTTCTTGAGTTCCTCTGTCCATGGCTTCCTCCGCCTCAGCCTCTGCCTCCGCCGCCGCCTCCTCTCGTACAACGGCGGCCATAGGAGACACCTCTGATAAGCCTCTTCTTTACCCTTCTTTGAAATTCATCATCTCCAACCTTAAATCTTTGGTTCCTCACCATCTCTCCATGGATAATTATCCCATTTGGAGAAACCAAATTTTCAAACTCTTTAAGGCAAACGGTTTCGAATCCTTTCTTGAAACTCCTCCTCCCGCCCCCGACGATCACGCCCAGTCAGATCAAGATTCTGATTTCTCCAAATGGCTCCTCACCGATCGCAATCTCGCCGCGGCAATTTCTTCTACTATCTCTGCTTCCGTCATCCCTTATGTGATGCATCTTGATTCCACCTACGACATCTGGAATGCGCTTCAAACGCGATTTCAATCGGCAAATCGCTCCAAGGTTATGCAGCTCAAAAACGAGCTCCAAAACATCTCTATGTGCAATATGTCAATGCAAGAATACCTTATGGAAATCAAGAAAACCGTGGACATGATCATCTCCGCCGGCTGTCAACTAGACAATGAGGACATTATTCTTCACATACTCAATGGCCTTCCTCCTCCCTATCAACCGTTCAAGACCGCCATTCGCACTCTGCAATCTCCTCTGTCCCTAGACAACCTCTATGCCATGCTCACTAGCGAAGAGATCCATCTTCGTCAAGATTCTCAGCGCTTCTCCACGACGGTTGATAATCACGCTGCTCTATACGCAAATCGTGGACGCGGACGACGGGGTCGCGGTCGAATACAACAAACAACCACACCTTCCGTAAAACAGGGATCAAAATCATCTCTCACTTGTCAAATTTGTGCTAAACGCGGACATTCTGCGGACGTTTGTTGGCACCGACATAATCCAAATTATGTCACTCCTTCATCTCAGCCACCGCAGCATGGTCAAGCACTCATTGCTACCGCTGATTCGTCTTCCTCCGAATGGTATCTTGATTCTGGTGCATCTACTCACATGACGAACAACAACGACAATCTCGTTCAATCATCTACCTATCACGGCTCAGACAACGTCCTGGTTGGGGATGGAAGATCCGCTCCCATAGCACATTCCGGCACGGGAATCCTTCCTACCCCCGAGCGTAAGCTGCTATTGTCTGACTTACTTCACATTCCCGCTATTTCTCATAATCTTCTCTCAATTTCTAAACTCGTTTGTGAAAATAATATATCTATCACTTTCGAACCTCACGGCTTCTTGATGAATGATTTGCATACTAACAGGATTATTCTCCATGGTCCCTGCAAGGCCGGCCTGTATCCAGTTTCGGTCAAGAACCAGGCGGACAATCCACGGGCTCTCGTCACTCATCAGCAAACTTCTCCCAATTGGCACGAGCGCTTGGGTCATCCTCACCAACGCATACTGGCTCGTATTTCCCAAGATCATCCGGCCTTGCATATTAAGAAAACTAGTATTAGCTGTAATTCTTGTAAACTCTATAAAAGTCACAAGTTGAGTTTTCCTCTGTCTGTAAAACGAAAACAGCATCCTCTGGCTTTGTTACATTCGGATATTTGGGGACCTTCCCCGGTATCCTCAATGCACGGATATCACTACTATTTGCTCATAGTTGATGACTATTCCAGATATATCTGGGTTTTTCCATTTTATGCAAAATCTGAGGTTCCGCTAATTTTTATTAATTTCATTAAATTCATTGAAAAACAAACCTCTCGTCAAGTTCAGGTCGTTCGCACCGACGGTGGCTCCGAATTCGTCAACTACCAGTTCCAGAACTTCCTTCAATCCAAAGGAGTACATCACCAATTATCTTACCCGTATACGCCTGAACAGAACGGCGTCGCCGAACGAAAACATCGCCACCTCGTCGACACCGCCAGAACGTTACTTCATACCACCTCCGTGCCTCATCAGTACTGGCCAGACGCCATCTTAACTGCTGCTCATCTCATCAATCGGATGCCAACGCCTACGACCAACTACAAAACACCACTTATGCTTATGTTCAACAGTAATCCTGACTATACAACTCTTCGCACATTCGGGTGCGAATGCTTCCCCCATCTACCAAAGCACACTCGAAACAAGCTGGAGCCAACCTCGACCTCCTGTGTCTTTCTCGGTTACGCTCAGAATTTCAAAGGCTACAAATGCTTGAACAAAGAAAATCATATAATAGTTTCTCGCCATGTTCAATTCCTTGAGAGCTCGTTTCCATTCTCTAACTCTCGATCTACCCAATTACCGCCCTCGCACGACGTGCCTCCATCTTTCTTAATTCCTTCCTCTGTTTTACCGCAGGGTCCTAAATATCAACCAACTATGGAGAAAAATCGCGTAAATACCAATCTGGGTAACCGGACATCATCGTCTAACTCATCTACTCACCTTCAGGATCACACATCTTCCTCGGATGCCAGCCAGCAAATCTCTTATCCCGCAGTGGTAAAGCATCCGATGTTAACTCGAACTCAAACCGGCAATCTTAAGCCAGTCACTCGCCTAAATCTCTTTCACAATCAAGACGCTCAGCTGGATCCTACCAGCTATGCAGAAGCAAACAAATCCCCTGAATGGAGAAATGCGATGGCTGCCGAGTTTCTTGCTCTACAAAAGCAAGAAACATGGCAGATAGTTCCTGCACCACCAAATAAACAAATTCTAGGCTGTAAATGGACTTACTGCCGCAAACTCACTCGGATGGAACCGTAGCTCGGTATAAGGCACGGTTGGTTGCACTGGGAAACCAACAGGAATTCGGACTGGATTATACTGAAACCTTCAGTCCGGTCGCCAAGCTCCCCACCATTCGCGTTCTCTTCGCCATTGCCCTCCATTATGACTGGAAAGTTCACCAATTAGACGTCGAAAACACCTTTCTTCACGGCGACATACAAGAAACGGTCTATATGAGACAGCCCAAAGGTTTCGAGAATCCAACCCATCCGAACCATGTCTGCCTACTACGGAAAGCTCTTTACGGCCTTAAGCAGGCTCCAAGGCAATGGTACACCACGTTCTGCAATCAACTAATTCAATTCGGCTTTCACCAGAGCAAAGCAGACCCCTCTCTCCTCGTCTTCAATCAAGGTCGGACACAAATGTTCCTACTCATATACGTGGACGATATCCTTCTCACCGGCTCCGACGAAGCTGCCATCTCCAAATTTCTTCATCACCTCAATCAAGTGTTCGCACTCAAACACCTCGGGACGGCTAATCACTTTCTCGGCATACGCATTCAATATACGCAAGATAAGTATTTCCTTTCGTAATCTTCGTATGCTGCTTCTATTACTCAACAAGCGTCCCTAACAAAGTGTAATCCAGCTGCAAATCCTTCTTGCACCAAGCTTCCGGCCAACACAGCCATTGAATGCACGCATTTGTCGGATCACCATACATATCGCCAGATCATCGGTGCTCTACAATATTTTCGTCCAGACGATCCTGATTTCGTCCAGACGAACCATACAGCCAAACATGATTTTCTCTGCACAACCTGTACCGATCGTCCCGGACGATCCGACTTCGTCCAAACGAACCTGGAGCAGAAACTGATATTACACCTACGCAGTCAACACTCTCTCGCAGCATATGCATGACCCTCAAACAGATCACGTTTTTCTTCTCAAACGTCTGATTCGGTACATACAGGGTACGCGAAACTTTGGCATTCCTATCCAGAAATCGGACCTTACTCTCTCTACCTTCTGTGACGCCGATTGGGCTAGTGATCCGATTACTCGCAAATCGACCTCGGGTTATTGCACTTATCTGGGATCCACTCTGGTATCCTGGACGGTAAAAAACAAACTACCGTCTCGCGATCCTCAACAGAGTCTGAATATAGAGCTCTTGCTTCCGCCGTCGCAGATACAATATGGCTCAAGCGGCTGCTCTCCGACTTCGGCATAGCACACAACAATCCGGTAGCCCTGCACTGCGACAATACTTTCGCTATTGCTCTTTCCACAAATCCCGTTTATCACGCTCGTACCAAGCACATAGAGATTGATCACAGATTTGTTCGGGAAAACATTCAAAATCAGCATCTGAAGCTTGTTCCGATCAAAACAGAAGATCAGGTGGCCGACATTTTCACTAAGCCTCTGTCCACTCCAAGATTCAAAAAGCTCTGCGACAAACTCACCGTCATTACAGACCCGTTCGTTTGAGGGGGGATATTAGATTAGCTTAATTAATGTACTTAACCGATTTACTTAGCTCTCCTCCAATCACTGTCTTACACGTGTAATATCTGTCCCGCCTATCTATTTATAGGCTGCTGTACATTTGTTTATGCAATCAATGAAATATTTCGGTCGTCTTCTTCCTTACCTGCTTCTCCCTATCCTCTTCTAAGTTTCTTCACACGTCACCCCTTCGTTGCGTACCGCAGCTCGGTACTGCTGATGTGGCTGCACTTGATTCGCCTCCGGAGGTAGAACTATGTCCAGCCCCCACATAGAAAAATTTCTCAACGAATAGGTATGCATGAAAGAAAAAGTAAATAAAATTTTAGTTACACATAATTAAATTAAAGTAATTTTACTAATAATTTACCCAGTATATAACTTAAGTAAATTATTAAAATTAAATGAATTTAGTAATAATTATATTTGTTAGATTTATATGTAGATAATTACATTTATTTAAGTTTATAAATTACTTTAAAGTTAGTATTTGAACTATAATTGATGCAGTAATAATGTTTTTTAACAACTCACGAAATAAAATTAAAAGTTACTAGGTCCTAATTGATATACATGATTATAACTTAGAGGTAGTAAAAATTAAAAATTAATTTTAATTGCTAAATAAAAAAGAATTTTTCTTAAAATTAATTCAATGTTCTTAACAACAAGATTAATTTATAAAAACTGGGCAGTGTGGCAATGGGCCTAGAGCAAGTCGTCATCGGACTAGCTTGAGTGGTATCGTGCTAGCCCGACCCAAGCCATAACGGGTGGCCGAGTCATTCACTAGGCGAACGACTTGCTCTGGGCCCATTGCCATAGTGCCTCCTCGCCACATCATCCGCCTAGTCATAGCCTATCATTTGCACAAGTATTAGTTTTGTTTATTATTATTATTATTTTTTCATTCTGTTCTGTATAAAAAAGTTTTAAATTTTTTACTTTAAAAGTTTGTGCTACTAAAAATTAAGAATGTATAGTCTTAAATATGGAGAATTTAGGTTATGCTTTGGCCATTATAAGTCAACTAAGTAAATGCATGAAAAATAAAAAATTGGAAATATCATAATATTGATCTTACATTAAAATCTTCTAAACTAATTTTTTACATATGTTCCTTACCAATTATTTACATAATATAAAATATTTTATAAGAAAATAGAATACACACCTTAATTCATTCTACTTTAATTTCCTCACTAAAAATTTATTTTTAAAATAAAAAAGCACACATTACTTATATAAAATAAAACTGAAAAAAATGCATTTGATAATTTTTTTTTCCAAATTTTGGATTTTGTTTTTACTTTTTTATTATGCCCCTTTTCCACAAGATAAATATGCTCCATTATATAATAATTCTAATTTCACATGAGATCAGGTGTTGAAGATTTTGCATGCATGGAGGAAGACTAATCTTTGAGATGTGTAAAGTGTTAGATGATGACAGTGCATGACTCTGAAGCCACTGAATCATGAGAGATTATTATGTATGCCGAGTTCAGAGGCATCCGAAAAGGGGCGGGTCCAGCTTCTTTTTTTAGGGTGGGCAAAAAAAAATTTTTTTTGTGAGGGATGGGCAAAGATGCTTAGGATTGATAAAAAATAGCTCAAAAAAGATTTTTGAGGGGGGGCAAAATGCCCAAAATACCCAAAATACCCAAAATATTTTAAAATCTCTCCTCTAAATATTAAAAGAATTTTTTTTTTTAATTAGGGTGGGCATTTGCCCACCCTAAGCCATGGGTGGATCCGCCCATGCGTTTGGAGGTCAATTCAGACACTCTACATCATCCAATACACAATGCATTGGGTGACTCTGAAGTCACCCAATACACACCGCATTGTGTGACATGACGCATTCAAATTAACCTTCAAACCCATCTGGTCACCACCCATAATAATTTTTCCTGAATCAAACATAACAAATTAGGAAATATGACATAGGAAAAATAAAGTTTTTTAATGATAATAAAATTACATTCTGAAGTTTATAAATATATATAGTTTATATTTACCTTTTAAAAAAAATTCATTTATTAAAACATTCAAAATATAAAGCATACTGTTGTTATGTGAATACACATGGCTATAAATGAAAGTGATTCTTCCAAATCAGTAATAAATAAAAAGCGACTAAGAGTTCGACTTCGTTTGAGACGACTTTCTTTCCGCATCTTAAAAGCGCTTTCTAGTATAAATTTTAAATTTTTGTAATAAAAAACTGCTTTAAGAAGCATCAAGAAAGTAATCACAGACGAAGCCTTCCTTTGAGATGACTTTCTTATTTTTTCATAAAGTTACATTTTAGTATAAAATTATTTTAAAAATAGAAAAAAAGTCTAAAACTATCACGAACAAAGCCTAAATAACATGATTCAATTTCGGGTCACGGGTCGGGTTCTGGTCGAACCCGAAACTGTCCCGGCACTATTCGGGTCAACCCGAACCCGACCCGTTTAAAAAAAAAAAATGGATCGGTTTCCTGGACCCGAACCCGACCCGAATGACCCGTTTTCAACAAAAAAATTGCTAATTTTCGGGTCAAAAAGGGTCAATCTACTCTTTTCGGGTCAATCTCAGGTTGCCTGATCAAAATCGAGTTTTCGGTCAAAATTGGGTCGCTTTCGGGTCAAATTCGGGTCAAAGGAACCCAATTTTTGAAACTGGTCGAAATGTTGAACCCAAACCCGACCCATTTCGGGTTCGAGTTGACCCTAACCAAAAATTTTCGGGTTGTGTTCGAGTCGGATTTTCACGTCGTGTCAAATATTGACACCCCTAATTGAGATAATACCGTCATCAAAGAAAAATAAGTATATTTCTCATCATAATCAAAATAAATATCAATATAGTCCTTACATCATAAACCCACACAATCAAATTTAGAACCATCTAAAAAAAAAAACAATAAAAATATTATACTTTAATATCCGAAGAAATTATTTCCTCATTAAATAAAACTAATCCTCCAAAAACATCAACAAGAATAAATAATAATAGTAATAAGAATAGATAAAGGCAGCAGCAACTGGATACCAAACAATGGTGGTGGCGCACCGCCGCTGAACCCCATTCCCGGAAACTTCGAATCTCCGAGTCCTCCACCACCTCCGCCACCACCACCACCACCACCAAGGATTTGTCCGCCGCCGTCCCTGCAGTCAAGCCCAAAGCACGTAAGGTTATCAAGAAAGCTCGTTGCTCGATAATTTGTTCTGACATATTATCTAAACAACATTAATGTAGGACAGGGCGGCGAGCCTACCTTTTTAGTCTACCTAGCACGCCGGCGTTGAGGGTGAGTTGGTCGATGAGCTCGGCAGGTTTAGCCTCAACGCTCGACGCTTTCTCGTACATGGCCGCCGATCCGTCTCCCGACGGCACGAAGAAGGCGCCGTTAGCCATTATATCCCCATCCGACCTCCAGTTCCAGCTGCTCCATTGTTCCTCTGCAGTGTCTATTCTCTCCGTCACCTTCAAAATTTTAATTTAACCAATTTAGCCCTTAATAAAATATTTAATTACAAAAACAAACTTCAAAATCTTACAAGTGTAGTTTGATCAAATAACTCATTTTTTGGTATGCTAAATTTTGGTTTTTTTATTAATTATTTTAAATAAAAATAAAATCAAATTTCAAATTATTATTTTATTTCTTATTTTAAAAACAAAATAAATATGTGATATATGTGGATAAAACAAGGGAAAAAATCAAAATTTATTTCATTAGCATAATTAGTATTAAATTTACAAGCAATCCCATCTAAATAATTACCTTAATTAAACTATCAATTTTTAATTGAAATAATCCTCAAAAATTTCAAAAAAAATATGGAAGAAATTTGAAATTGTGCTTTACCTCCTTGTTATTTGGGTCGGCGGGAGCTGTGTTATATTCAACTATTTAATATAAATATATTAATCTTAATAATAATTAAAAACTTCATAATTAATTTAAGATAAAGTATAATAAATTCAACAATCAATTTCTAAGTTGAATTAAATGATAAATTTTTATAATATAAATTTACTATAACTAGTTGTTATACTAACTAATAATAAATAATCAAATCTTAAACGCCTAATGAAACTTTAATTATTCTAATTAAATATGACAACCTAATAATTACCTTAATTAAACTATCAATTTTTAATTGAAATAATCCTAAAAAATTTCAAAAAAAATATTGAAGAAATTTGAAATTGTGCTTTACCTCCTTGTTATTTGGGTCGGCGGGAGCTGTGTAGCGATTCCCTTGGCTGTTAATGGTAGGATTCGCACTCCCCCCGACTGCGTACATCTCCCACTCTGTATAATCGTTGTTAACGACGTGGAAGTAGCCGTGCCTGCAGCGCGGCATCCTCTGCACCAGCTTCTCCCCAAATCTGTTGTACGCGACAGTTACCTGCAACCAGTTTAATTAACGGGATCATCAGAAGCAGAGTAACAGCTAAAGCTCGATCAAGCAAGCTCTTCTGGTTTGAATTGATCCCACCTGCATCTCGGAATCCCCCGTGTAATCGTCGCTGTGGCCGAGAAGCATCACCTTATCGTGCCGCGAGAAGAAATTGTTCGAAATTGTAACCCTCGTAGATCCCCTGGTCACATCGATCAACCCGTCCGCGCAACTAGAGAGCGCGCAATGATCGACCCATACGTCCTGCGAGCTGACGATCGAGATCGCATCGCCGTCCGATTTGCCGTGGTGATCGGCTTCGATCGGCGAGGATCGGATCACAGCGTCACCGGCGGGGACGCAGTCGTGGATGTGGAGGTTGTGGATGATCACATTGGAAACGTTTTTGATGGCGATGCAGGAGCCGCCGGCTATGTGGACCTCGACGCCGCGGCCGTCGATGGTTTTGAAGCTGTTTACGAGGAGTTCTTGCTTGAGCTGGATGGACATGGAGGTGGAGAAGATGATCCAGAGGGGGGCGAATTGGATGGCGGCGTGGCGGAGAGTGCCGGGGATGGGGTTGGCGGGATCGGAGTCGGAGGGGTCCGTGACGATGTAGAGGCGGCCGTTTTTACCGCCGATGGCGGAGCGGCCGAAGCCGATAGCGCAGTCTGCAAGGCGGAAGCGGTCGGCGGGGGAGCAGAGCCAGCAGTCGTCAATGGGGTTGCCGGTAAGGCATTGGGAGGGGTGGGAGGCGGAGATGGGATTGGGATCGGGTTGGGAAGAGTTTGGGTTGAGGAGGGGTTGAGGGGAGGAAGCTGGGAGGAGGAGGAGTAGGAGGAGGAGAGGAAGGACCATTGTTGGAGTGCTGTAGGGGAAGGACGAAGAACAGGGTATTTTGGATTTGAGGAAGAAGACGAAGTGGGGAGGTGGAGGTGGAAGACGAGGGCTGAGAGCTTCAGTGATGGAGCAGAGAGAGAGAGCAGAGAGAGACGAGAAGAAGATATAGAGAAAGGATGGCGGGAATAATCGTTTGCTTTTATGGTAATAATATATTTTATTTAAAACGAAAAAAAAAAAATCGTAATGGCTAATAAGAGCCGGTATTGGAATTATAATATACAGAAAAAATTTACATTAATGAATTTCTTTTTCGATATTTTAAAGAGAAAATCACGAATTTATACATAGAAATTCTATTTAAATTTAGTTAAATTTACTATTAAGAACTAATGATTTTTTAAAAAGATCAAAAATAACATATTGATTTAATTAAGGCATGATATTGCCTTATTTAGCATAAAATCTGATAAAATCTATACGAACGACAAATTACATAGTTATATAATTATATAAGAGATTAACTAATTGAATAATAAGAGAGAGAGTATTTGCCTAATCAAGCTCAGCTTATTTTATTTAATTTCTAAACCTAAGCCCAACTCGTCACGAACTAACTAGGATATCTTGATTATTTGTATCTTGATTATTTATTTATTTGAGCCCGTTTGAAAAGTTCGAGCTTGGCTCTAATGTTGAGCAATTAATTTTTTTTACTTTTAGAAATTTTTATTTTTTAATTTTGAATTAATTTTAAAAAAATTAAAATATATTAAGTAATGCTAATTTAATTTAATTTTTAAATATATTTTAAGTTAATGGAGCAGCTCCAAGAGCTCAAGAAGAGCTCGTCTAATACATGAGGCTGAATAAAGGCTCAAGCACGAACTTGTGGCTCAATAAACTCCACTTGTGAGCTCATTAATGAGTCAAGTTTGAACCGACTCGACTCACTTACTCCCGTGCATGTCACATTGTATAAGAAATAACTAAAAACTAATTATAAAATTATTACCTGAAACTATAAATTTTGTTAGTAGGCTACTTAATTTTCATAAGAAAAATATGATTAACAGTGGGAGAAAATATTCTTATAAATTACATAAACTCTTGTCATAATAGAAGAAAATGAAAATAATTAGATTCCATCATTCAATTAAATGTAGTTTAGACATTCATAAAGATATTAAACACAAATAAAAGGATTGCAGCAAATCATCAATTTTTAATAAATGTTTCTTCTTAATCTAAAAAAACGATCACATTGGCCTTAAAGTTGTTTAGTCAATGTGATTAACATTAGAAGCATATAAAATAGTGCATTAATGATAAAAATTTTATCTTAATCAAATCGTTTCAGTATCATCACGAATTGTAATCGAATGACTCCGATAAAACTATTTCACAACTTCCCTTCAATAATAACACCATTTAGCCTTTATCCCACTACGTGGTGTCGGCTTCATAAATCTTTTTTCGCCATTGTGTCTTGTTAAAAGTCAAATTTTTAATTAAATCTAATAATAAAATGTCATTTCTAATATGTTCTAACAAAATCTTTTAGGTCTACCTCTACCTCTTAACATAGGAAAATTTTGATACATCTACTCTCCTAATCGGGTTATGAGAATACCGACATTTATTTGACCTAACCAACTAAGGTGACTCTCACTAGTCTTTTCCGCCACGGGAGCTGCGCCAACCTTTTCACGTATGTGTTCATTTCACATTTTTCTATAAGTGTAAAGACACTCATCCACCTGAGCATCATCATCTCTGCAACATAACTTTTTCATATGCTTCTCTTTGAATGGCCAATATTATGGACTATAAAGCATTACAGATCACAATTTCTCTTGAACATTAAAAATATTCAATGTTATTTATTCAAGATTGAATAAGTAATAATAGTCAAATTAACAATCCCATTCTAATAAAATGAACAAAGCCTTTAGTGGGCCACCATGCCTACTATAATCTTGGTTGACTCAATCATTCTCATCGATATGAAGTGCATAATCGAGTTGATCCTAACCCAATTTGGTTGGTCAATATGATTAATATCAATAGAGCAAATTCTTCGATTCACTTGATGGGCCAAATTATGCCAAAATAGGCCAACTAGATTTGGGTTAACCAATGTTGACTCATGTTTTATCTTAACTGACCTCCAAGGTTCTTAGTCAACTCAATTGATAGGGAATTACATTACTTACCTCTCGCATGGTTTAATCCGTCATAAACTACATTGATAAACAATAACCTCGAGTTAACACAAGGAAACTCAAGTTGACCTATTTTTAAGTGAGAAAAATAAGTTAATTGGTTCTAATTCTCTTAATAGATATATCTAAATTGACTAACTTACGACCTTGTTTTTTTTTTTTAACAAATACATTAATAAAGGTAGGTTACAATAGAAGACCCCACAATGGGCCACATCACAAGCTTACAAGAGGAACAACAAAATTAAAGAAAAGACCAATACGATTAAGGGTCGAAAGACACGGACTCAGACCAGCATCGAGTTGCCAGAGCGGAGCCATCCAATGGTAAACTCAAAATCGAAGGAGAAGGGCCAACCAACCCTGGCCATCCACGACGCTTGCAGCATCGCTACTTCCTCATCGTCCATATCAAAACAATATAACCGGGCAGCCAACAGACCTCAAAGGCAACCCAACAGAAAGAAATCAACAATTTCAGCAACCCAAAACAACCTATAATGGCAAGTAAACAAAACCTACGCAGCAACCAACCAAAAAATCAGCGACCACGTCGGCCCCTCCCACGAGACCTACCGCGAGGGGAATACAACATTGTTAGAATATCGACAAACAAGATGTCACAAAGACACTAAAATTTAGATAACAAATTACTCCCAAAATTCATCACCTTCACATCATATTATGCTCATTTTTCGATAATATAAGGAAATTTTCTAAAGCCTAATCCTCACGAACTATTATGCTAACCACTATATAATGTATTGTTTCCAACAAATTAAGAGAAAATAGCCATCTCGCTTTGATTAGATAAAAATGTAAGCCCCTACAAATTAGCTTTACGGTCAAGTAAGAATTACAATATTACATCTTTATCAAAGTATGTGTGCCTCTCTTGCTATCCTAAAATTTGGATAAGCAACCACAGAGGAGATACTTTCTTTTTTATTTGTTATATTCTAAGCTTTTTTTTACTTTTCAATAAAGATTACTTATCTCATCCTTAAGATTTGAGAGTTGAATTGTTTTATATGTGGGCTTACATATAATCATTCACCGAATATTTGTTTTTTCATCTGATTACTTTATTCAAAGTGGGAAAAAATAGTCTAAATATTTTAATTAAATTTTTTTGTGAGAACAAAATCAAAAGTTATTGGATTTATTTTAAAATTAATTCTATATGATTTTTTATTTTACACTAATTAAAAATTAAATATAAAATTAAAATTTATTTAATTTGAATATTTTTATTTGACAATATTTCTTAATAGAGCACCTTTTATTCAAAAAAGATGAAGTAAAAGAAAATTTATCATGTGCGGTGACCGAATGGCATTCAGAGGCCACATAATTTTCTTACTGTGTACAACTGCTGTGTACCACTTGGTAGTAGATGATGTGGTGGGTTCTGTTAGCGCATACACTACTTAGAGTTATCCGGCATCCATTCTATTTATCGTTGTACCCAACTAAGCTTATATTAAGGCTGCTGTATCTTAGTTCTAGATATATGAGTTTATATTTTCCTTTTCCATTTCTCTGTTCTGCTCTCTCTTCCTCTTCTTGTTCTTTCTTACATGGTATCAAGAGCCATCTATGGGGGATCAAGAATCATCTTCTTCTCTCCCACCCACCTTCACCAACTCACCGGCACCAATACCGCCGAGCCATCCATCCCAGCTCCACTCAAATTCCTTATCTCAAACATCAAAACCCTCCTACCTCACCCTCTCACAACTGATAACTATGCAATTTGGAGAATTCAAATTCTACAACAATTCACAGCTACCGACTACGTTGGCCATCTCAATGGCACAATCCAGCCACCGCAAGATACCACATCTCCGGCTCACGGTTCTTGGATGCTCATTGACAGCACGCTGATTTCAGCGCTGTTTTCGACTATCTCGCCTACCATATTGCCGTAAGTCATCACGGCGACCACCGCAAAAGACGTCTGGACTACGCTCGAACGCCGTCTTCAGCCCGCTAGCCGCTCGCGTGTAATTCAGCTCAATAACGAGCTTAACCACATACAAATGAAGAATTCAACGATGCAGCAATACCTCACTCAAGTTAAGACCATAGTTGACAACATAGCTGCATCAGGATCTCAAGTCGATCCAGAGGACATCACCATCTACATACTCAACGGCCTACCATCGTCCTACAACTCCTTTAAGACGTATATTCGCAACTCCCCCCTACCGGCGGACCTTGACTCTCTCTACTTGCTCCTCCGTAGCGAAGAGATACACGTGAACCAAGAACTCCTCAAAGATTCGTCTAACGAACACTCGGCATTGTATGCCTCCTCCTACAACCAGAATAGAGGACGGACACAACGTCGCCCTCCCAAGAACACCAAGAACCAAAGCTTCACTCAAAACCAATCGACCCACAATGCTACTCCCGTAAGCAGCACAGAAAACGCACGCCCAACTTGACAAATCTGCGAAAAGATCGATCATCTGGCCATCAACTGCTGGCATCGATGTAATTTTAAGTATGAACGAACTACTGCACCCCCTCCGCGAGCTATAAATCCAAGATTAGATTTTTAAATAAATTATTTTAATTTTTTGGCATGAAGAAAATTTTTGATTTTACACTATATGCTTGAAATTAATTTAAGATAATTTTTAAGCTGCTTGTTTGAAATTTTGTTTAAATAAATTGGAGCTTATTTTAATTTCACTAAAATATCTAATAAAATATTTTCATAAAAAGAATTAAAATAAATCTTAAAAGGGTTGAATTAAAATAAATATAAATTAAACTAAACCCTCA